GCCCTTGCTCGTTTTAAACATCTACCCGTTTATAAATTAAGAGGTCATGTTTTTTTTGTTAATTGCTGTTTTATTGGCCCCTTTGTGAATTCATCTTTTTCCTGTTCACAAAATATATGTATACAAGCCCCCTGGAATTGTCCCTCCGGTTCGCGGCAAGCTCTCTAATTTGAGCCCGATGCTGCTGAGCCTTTTGGCAGCGTGAAAACATGGAGAACCATTCGTCACGGGACAGACGGCCGCATGTCTGTGACTGCTGGCTCGACCTGCTTGCGAGCCAAAGTGGCGTTTCATTCGTCTCTTCTGGACAAATACTGTCCCAAAACTAATGAAGCCTTCAGCCGGTTTTGAACTAAGCGTTCTACGTGACCCAATGATGTTATTACTCTGAGTATTTGGTGCGGTGAGTGCTGCCACCGAGTACGTGGGTCAGACGTCACTTTCAGGGCGTCTCAGAAGTCATTCTGTGATATCCACCTCCACAGCACGTGCTTTGATTACACTGGTCAACACACTTTTTCTGGCATAAGGTATTCTAACGGTTTTAAGGGAATTTTGGGGTGCTGATTCCAAATCTGGCATCAGTTTTTGTCTATCAAATCAGGTTTTTGAGATATCAAATATTGCATTTTCAATAAAAACTGCAGAATAAAAATATTAAATAAATGTGGATATCTACATAAAATGATATTATAAACACACTATCCTAAAAATACAGCACCATATTTTAACACTAAAGCAGTCACTGACTCGCAACAACTTGCAATCATAAGTGACAGAATTAATTTCGGGTAAAATAAATTCAAATGTGGTATGCCGATAGTATAAAAATGAGATGTGATAGAGCAAATCTGAGATCAGATTTGGAATCAGCACCCTGAAATTAGCCTAAAACAGCTGCAAAAGCCCAGGCCAGAAAAAAATGTGTATCTTTTGTTGACCAGTGTAATGGGTGATTGTCCTGTTCTGCACGAGTTCCGAATGGATTCTTCCTCACGTGACATTTCACTGATCGCACAATCAGGATCGAATATCAGATGGAAAAGACTTTTCTATTTCCACTACATAGGGTGAAGTGCATTCAAGCGTAACATGATGATCGGTATCGATAGATGAAGAGTTCTAATGGTGCATGATTAACATTGAAATATCCACGACGGGGTCAATACTCTTTGCGTAATGAGATGCATTCCTATTCTTAGGTGTTTTCGGTAAAGTCACGTAGGTCACTTAGGTAAAACATCAAAATTAATAAAAAATAATAAAATAAATAATAAAAATAAAATAAATTATTTTGATGTTTTTCTTACGTGACTTTACCGAAAACACCTAAGAATATGATTCCTTGCAGTCACGAAAGCTTCAAGTCTAGAATTAAGATATGCATTCCTACCTCAAATCACGAAGTGTCGGTGCCGTTTGTGTGATCGCAGCTGAAAAGGAAAACGCTGGAGTTTTCTGTCTGGGACTATGATCGATTCTCCTCCAACGATTTCCTGGGCGAGGTATGAGAGTGCTTACTACTGCAGTTTTAAGTGGATCAATTTCATCTGTGTCCGTTGCATTTGGAATGTAACGGCTTAATGAGAACCTGTAATTTTGTATATTAAACATGAGCAATGGAAATTTTTTGGTAATGTTTGCCGCCGTGGTGTGATGGTTAGCGCACCGGACTTGCAATCCAGAAGTTACGCGGCAGTTGAAACATTAGGGGGAGTTTATTAAATCATCCTCGCCCCTGTCCACCCAGCTGCATAAATGGGTACACCACCATTATAGTTGATCGGCAGGTCACGTGCGGTCGGATAAAGTGTGGGTACTCTCACCTCTTCCAAGATTCCTGTCCGGTGTGGAAGAGTAGGCCACATACCTTCTTGAGGGGCTCTCTAGAGGACCCTCTAACGGAGACCTTTCCACCAGCAGTGACAAGACTAAGCAATTGTAGGGGCTGCACCTGTAACTAGTATTTATAATTGTTCTCCGTGAGCTTTCTCGCCTCCTTTGTAGGAGTGTTGGCGTCGTGAATGTTGTTGAACCAATGACAGTCCCGCACTAGTCTCTCTGCGTCTAAAACAAGAACAGAATGTAAATGTGATGGCAATTGCAGTAAGCTGGAGCGGCTGCCAGCGCGCAGACGTGTGCGTGCGGTGGGACCTTTTCTTTGACCTCGAAAAATGCATCCCCGACGCTTTGGTGACAGCTGCGGTTCAACGAGATGAGCGTCGACCGTAATGGACGTGGCTGTTTCTGAGAGCGACGATTCGAGGTTCACGCGTGGGCGATCATTTTTTTTTTTTAAAAGTCAGGCAATCCAATGTCTGTCAGGTTTTAATTAGGCCCAGAAGCGTGCCTAAGTTTTGTCGAGCACTAAGCCAGGCCGTTTTATTATCACCTGCGAACAGCTCGGCCCGGCGTGCAGTGAATGCTAATTTGTTTTGTCGTGCTCAGCGACGCTGATTGTGCACAGAGCCGTCTGCAATAACATGACGTGAACTCGCCTACAGTTGTCCAGTATTCGATTATTCTTCAGGTGTATTTATGTTAATGACACCAAGTGTATATATATGCAGTGGCAAGATGTTAACTACCTCGCCTGGGCTAGAGGAGGTCGTGGATTCAATCCCGACCCTGACGCCTGCTGTATATTTGGAGTTTGCATGTTCTCTCCGTAGTTGCGTGGATTTTTCTCCGGTTTCCCCCCTCCCCCCCCCCAAATTTAAAAAGAGCTACATAGCTCAGTGGGCCTTACTTGGTAAAATAAAAAATTGTTTAGTTGATATTGTTATTATATATTAGATGTGTAACAATCACCCTAAACACCTCCCCGCCCACCCCAAAACAAGATTTAATACATTATAACAACTTGGATCACAATAACTGTATTGTTTTAATAATTAGATCACGTTTGTCTTTCTAGCATCTCATTTGTATTGTTTCTCATTTGGCTGTCAGCCAATTTGTTACATATTCATGCAATTTGTCGAATAACTTCCACTCATTATTGCACACGTAGTGTATTGTTTGCGGCACGGGTGCAGTGGGATGTATGTTAATTGGTGATTTGATTAATTGAAACGTGCCTGTTGTGCTAAGCAATTTAACCGAATTACCAATCTCCATAATTATGATTTTGCATGAATCTTCGCATCTGAAACGTCGTACATTTGGTTACTTATTATTGTATTATTGTTTCTATACATCGACCTTGCTAGTCAGTGAAGACCCCCCCCCCCCCCAAGTCAGATATCAAAGGGTCGAGGTGTTTTCAAGGACACTGATGATGCTGACGATAAAGCGAGTGGCTTCACCCACACCCTGGTTGGCATTCATTACTTTTATACCCCCACAGTAAAAACATTTTTTTAAATATTTATACAACGTCTTGGCTTATGAAAAAAAGAAGCTAACATTAATGGTAATATATTAAAATGCCCGTTGATACATCACCCATTATTGATAATTATCACCCACTTGCTGCCTCAAAAATGAAACGTGTGTGTGCATTAGTCCATTTAAATGAAAGTGCACACTCTGGTCTTGTCATACGTTTACGGCTCGGGCCCAGCTACTGTGGGAAGTCTTTAAATTAATGATGTACACTTCTTAAATGCCTGTTATGATCTCTGCCGACACACACTGATCTCCGTCGTGGCTTCGTACAATGTACAAATGCAAATTCAGTTTTCCCAAAATGCTCATTATAAGCATATTTTGAGTTACCATTTCAGAGCAGGCAATGAAAGGTTGTTGATGGCCCAACAGCGCGCAGCACTGCAGCAAACGTGACCGCACGGAGCTGTTACTGACTTCGCCCAAGGCCCTCCCTGCGGAGCTACCGAATTCCTTTTTTTCCAGTGCACAACAGAGCCAGACCGGCATGGCTCAAGAGGCACCAGGTTGTCTTTTTTCCACTGCAGAAGCCTAGCCATGCCACCGACGTCATATACCGCAAACGAGTCCGAGTCACATGTGGATGACGGGGTAACGCTGTGTCTTAACAGCATACCGACTGACATGACATGCAGTAAACTCATCGTTAGACCTGCCCTTAGCCCACCTTAGCCCCGAACCGAATCCAGATGTCTTGTGAGGCCAGCTAGCATATCACGGTGTGGTTCTGGCATGGCTTGCAATGTAACCAGTGGAAAAATCACGTGCCCACTCTGACTTGGCTTGGATGTTCCAGTGGAAATAGGTGTGTATGTATGTTGAACTTCGTATGTGGCCAACCATGCAAATCGGAGGTGCGGGGGAGAGTCAACAAACGAATCACAAAAAGCAGTTCTCAAGAAATGAAATTTCAAACTAGATTTAAAAGTGCATAGCTCCAGTGGCTTCCTCATATCTGAAGGAAGAGGGTTCCAGACGGCCACAGAAGCGCATCTGAAAGCACGCGATGCAGTGACCATCTTTGTTCGATGGCCAGCCAAAGCCGCTGCGGCGAGGATGACCGGAGTTCACCGAATGGTTTATGCTCCTTGACAACATCAGCGAGGTATTGCGGTTCATTTGTGGCAAACATTGACCTTATAGGTATGCGAGATCCTCCAGGCCCTCGGCTAGAACGCTATTCCCCTAACGTACCCTCGCATGACATACCCTCGCGATAATTAAGCAGTAAATAAATAGTTATTTCCCATCGGTTACTTTGCTAAACATTTTCCCGAGTAATCGATGGCGTGCAGATTGTACGGCGTCGCGCTTTTGACGTTTCGTCTAATTAAAATAAACACATCTCGTGCATCTGATGAGCACGGTTGGCGACGCACGGTGCCAAAAGAAGATCAACGCACGTGCGTACAACTTGACAGCAACGTGCATTTGTAAGCGTCGCGTATCGTAAAGGGCGGTGCGAGGGATTGGCAGACGCGCGGGCCCCCGCTGCGATCGCGTTGCGACGCGGGGGCGGCGCGGAGGCCAAAACTCCGCCGACTGTTCCCGATCGGATCTCGCGTAGGTGCGCATCGAGCTGTCGGACGTGATGCCACCTGGACGGGGCCCAGCGCTGGTACCCGCTGCGGGAGCAGTCGGAGGGGGGCTCCCCCCCCAAGGCTCCGGGGCCTCAGAGCGGGCTGCCCCCCTCCAAGCAGCCCGTGAGCAAGAGCAAGAGCCACCTGGGAGTGAACGAGGGCACCAAGGGTGAGTGAGGCTCGGCGCGCGTGTGCACAGGCGCTACGGCCTCTCCCCAACACCTGAGCAATAGCAGTTCTCACGTGGGTGGTGGCGGTGGTGGGTGGGAAACGGTTTAGCACAGTAACGGGCACGGGTGGTGCATCGGCCAGTCATCTCAGTCGGTCAATCCATGGCACCTGGGTCTGTCCCGTGACCTCCTGCCAGCGGGCGTTCGTCACTTCACGTGGCCTCAACGCGCACATAGCCTGGCACGCACGCCGTGGGGACGTCACCGCCACTTAGTGGCGAATGGCGGTTGTTGTTGTTGGGGAGCGGTCATGTAGTTGAATTCCCGCTCACGACCAACACCAGTGACGATTATCTGAATTGGTCATGGGCCTCCCCTAGGTCGACACAGCCTTAAATGAGTACCCAGTCTGGCGTGTAAACATCACCACTGGAAGGACAAAGGCGGCCGGGCGTGGTGTTGGCCACCCACCCCCTCGTGTGCTGTACCGACCTTCATAGGTGCTCGCTAACAGCACTTGCCTCAAAAGTCCGTTCAGGCTATACGGGCATCTTTGTCTTTGGGGTGGTGTAGATAACCTGACAAGAGGTGGGGGCTATGCTCTAAAAGGCGTGGATAGACACTTTTTTTGCCACGGCCAGACAAGTGCGTGTTGCGCGCAGCAACTACTCGCTAAGATGTGGTGGACAAAGCGGTTGCAGGCTACCAGAACCGGCCCTAGACCTTTGGGGGCCCTAAGCAAAATTTGGTTGGAGGCCCCTTTGATGTATGATTTTTTTCACCTACTAGCTAGCAGTGACTCTAGGGGGCCCTCTGCTGGCCACGGGGCCCTTTGCAATTGCAAGGGTCGCTTAGTGGCTGGGCCGGCTCTGCAGGCTACGATGATTAAGTTGCACGATTTAAGTCAGTTGTGGACCTGACTTAAGTGACGGTCTGTGCGGTGCTCGCACGGCATTAGCGGAGACTCCTCCTGTTGAAGCAAGTTGAAAGCTTCGCTGTTGCAATTTAGCACACTTCTGGTACACGGCGCGAAGTGGCCTTTATCACGATACGCAGTGCACGGCTAATACCACATGCGTAGCATTTGTACAGATTCATCGCCGAGAAATGAAATATTTTTTTTTCCTAAAAATACATTTGCCCTTAGAATTCTTTTTTAGCCATCATTTATTTTTGTTTGTATATTTCAACGGCTCATTTTCCTGTGAAACCCAAGGGCATTTACGAGTCTCATCTGTCAATGTCAAGGATTAAATGGCCCAAAGTTTTATATTTTTTTCTTATAACTGTAGGCTTTATTCAGAGCTAGGGCTTGAAGGTTAAAATAAGGCAAGGCGGCATTCAATCTTGCTCATCCTTTCCCAAATGTATTTTAACTGCATTGTTGTTAATTAATGACTTCCCACAATTTCTTGTTGTTGTAATTGTTCTTTTGTTGCCACTTCTCTTTGCCGAATCTTTGTGTCTCACCATAGACTACTGCAGGAATGTTTAGGCTTTGGCTCCCTGTACAATATGGGAATTTCCACTACGGCACTTGGGGCATCTGGTTCCTCGCTTCGCTTCCCCTTTGTTGACCCCGCCCGCCAAGTTGTCTGCACTAGGGAACCACGTGGGGGGTGGGGGGTGGGGGCAGGTGAGGATGAAGGGTCGGTCACATACCCATGGCTGCATCAAATCGACCGTGACTGTCGTAATTCACGGATACGAAAGGGGGCTCACCAGGCGAGACCTTAGGGGTTGGCATCAGAGGGTGGAAGCTGCACTGTCTTGGCGTGTGCTCTCACACTTGACTTGAACTGTTACAAGCAACCCGTTGCACGTGGAATTTGAATAGATTTGCACGTGGAATGTGGCAATTAAATTGTTCTTGACTTAATCAAGAAATGGGGTTGCGATGGGTGGGACGCACAGAGGGTGGAGGAGGCCAGATCAACGCGAAAGACATCGGAGTGGACATCCGGAGGTCAGCAACCAAGGGCAAGACCTACGTGCAGATGGCAGGAGACTGTCAAGTTCAAGTTCATTTATTAGGTATAGCCCTGTGAGCCATTCAGCTCTTGAATCGGGTGCAACCGCAACAAACAAAAAACAAAAACATGAACAAAAAACATCAGAGTGGACCCTGGAGGTGTTAACTCGACAACAGCCACAGGATCTAGGACAGACGGGACGGTGACGTGCGTTGGCATCAACGGCGTCGGTGACGAGGACAGCTTGGCCTAATTCATTGTTTCTTTCTAGATTTGAAGCTTTCGTGACTGCAAGGATTCATATTCTTAGGTTTTTTCGGTAAAGTCACGTAGGTAAAAAATTGTAATTAATAAAAGTAAAATAAAATAAAAATCACGACGTTTCGGAGGCAACACAAGCTTCCACCTGAAGACGGAAGCTTGTGTTGCCTCCGAAACGTCGTGATTTTTATTTTATTTTCTATTTTACTTTACCTTCGTGACTTTACCGAAAACACCTAATTCATTGTCTCTATCTAGACATCTTGTGATTTCCCATGACCGCAGTTGCTCCACGTTGAGTTGACCTCCTCCCGTTACCCACCCTCTCCAGAAGCCCCGCGTCCACCAGGCAGCAAGTCTCAGAGCAGCATGGCCGACTCGAGGTCCGGAGTAGGCGGCTCATCCTCTTCCACCACATCCGCGTCAGGGGCAGCGGCCGCAACAGCCGGGGCACCCGGAGGGCATCAGCGACTCTCTCTGTCCGGGCCACCGCAGCAGCAGCAGCAGCAGCACGCCGGGATGCCCGACTCCAAGTCGTCGTCCGAAGGGCGTCTGCGGACCTCGGCATCGGCCACGTCCTCTCACGCCCCGTCGCGTTCGCAGAGCAAAGGCAGCATCACGCAGAGTCACCTGGAGAGCGCAGGTGCAGCCATCGCCGCCGCAGAGGCCGCCGTGCAGCAGCTCCAGCAACAGCAGCAGCTGCCAAGTAAACGGCGACGCAGACCCTCTACCCAAGCCGCAGAATGAAGTCACGCTCAAATTATTTGTTGTTTTTTTGTTAATTTTTTTTTTGACGTTCGTCGTAGGTTTTGTCCGCGTGATTTTTTTTTTTCTTTTACCGTTCGCTCGCATTTTTCCTTCCGTTGCACCGCTCGCTCCACCACCGCCTTGCCTGCTCTTTCGAGACTCTTTTCGTTCCCCCTTTGCCGTCAGCAATGCTCGCCGCCGCCGCCAAGGTTGCTGCATCGTGCATTTCTGATGCGTGAAGCAACAGCAGCTGTTGCGGCGTTGAGTCAACGATCAAAGGCACCGGAACGCAATCTGCCATCTGCTCATTTGTCTAATAATCCTGGCCTCCACCGGCTGAGGTTTTTGTTTTTTTATATATTTTTTAACTGCCTGTTTGCCTCGTTCACTCAGCTGTGGAGTGGCTCCCCCCACCACTGAATAGAAATCTGAGGAAGCCCTCGCTGAAATTTTTGATAATTATTTTATTACTTTAAAAAAAAACTTCAAGTGTAAATATGCACGTGTAATATATTAACACCGTTTTGAAACAAAGCACAAATTTGTAAATGTGTAAGTGCTTCCTCATGTTTCTTTGGCCCTGTTATCTGACCTTTGTGTGTTCACCTCTGAATTTCCTGAGATCTTTTCCTGGGCACCAGTAACTTCGTTAAGATTTTCCTATCAAAACAGCCACATGTGTTCGTCTTTTTTGAGATTCATATTTTTTGTTTAACTATTTCATAATTTTAGTTGATCATGAAAGCATGTTTATTTACGTCTCGTCTCATCAAATCTTTTCCCTTGATATTTCACTATTCCTGCCATCAAGATGTCCTTGCAATCTGTCAGTTGTAAAAAAAAAAAACCTTGTTATTGGATAAGCAATGTTATTCAAAACATTTTAACAAAAAATATATATATACTTAATGGCAAGCTGTACACTAGTTTGAAACTTACATAACCACAAATTTATCCTTCATGGGTTTAGATTTCTCTCTCCAAGTTATAATGCAAGCATACATCCATAAGCACACATCATCTCTACTTATCACGCATTATTGTGGGAAATTAAAGATTTAGCATTCATCATTTATCTACATTTATGACATAATATAGCTAATTGTAAAGCAGTTAAATAGTAATACTTAAGCTGATTGCAAGTAAATATTTTTTTTTCCATTTAATCATCTGGTTATTCACAGTTTTACATCCAAGTTTATTTTTTTTATGTGAATCGTCATCCTTTGCAGCAGTTAACAGATCTGATGAGCATGTGTCTTGAAAAGAACTGCAATTTGTTGCGCCATTAATTGCTGTATAGCTAATTAATTTTTATTTGCAGTGTTATCTTGATTTGACGCAGCTTCTTGTATGCTGGCTTATCTGCTTAATGGCTTTACTGACTGATAGCTTGTTTAACAACAGGTTATTCTCACGATATTTAATGCAATATTACTTCGGCGTTTACCAATAATATAACAACGTTTGGCTCATAAGTGCAAAATTATCCGTTCTACATTACCAGTGATAATAATAAAAAAATGTTTTTATTATATGTATATTAAACTCAAGTTAATTGATAAACACGATGCAGTAAAAAAGATAAACATGATGCAATAAACATCGACACAATGTGAAGGAATCGTGAACGATTACGGTCTAATAATCAGTTCTGTTAACTAATTCTGTCAGATTTTTGATTTTTTTTTTCAGTTAATTTTTTCAAAATCATCAGTAGTTGAGTGACTTCATTTGAGAAGACGACGAAAAAAATCAAAACGAGAATCAGGAAAAAAAACCGACGGAACAAAGCAAAGTAAATAAAAGCACACCCGCGGGGGCTCTCTCGCTTTTCACCTTTTCTCTTTGCTCCCAGCGGCTAAGCCATCTAAAGCCCCAAATAATGTGAAGAAGCACAGACACAACATAGCCGGGGTGCTGCCGCCGGTGCGGAAGAGCGGGCCGAGCGGGCCGTCCGGGACCGCCGGACGGGGTCGTCCCAGAGCCCGGGGACCTCGCGGCGCAGCTTCGTCATCCGCAAGGTGCAATCGGACAGCCCCGCCAAGTCCGACAGAAGTGAGCTGCGCTCGGCAAAACCACTGGGGCCACGCGATTGTGACGTAGGAAATTCAGCTATAGCTGTGTAATCCCCCCCCCCCTTCCCTCCCCCATGCGTATCTCCTAATACTTGTAGATTTGAAGCTTTCGTGACTGCAAGGATTCATATTCTTAGGTTTTTTCGGTAAAGTCACGTAGGAAATTTTTTTTAAATAAAAGTAATATGACAAATTAAATAAAAATCACGACGTTTCGGAGGCAACAGCAACACTGTTTAACACTGTCTGTTCCGCGCCAAGTAGATTTTAATGATTATTATCTCTATAAAAAAACTACATAATTGAGCCATTCCCTGAGTGTTCATGCCGATGCAATTGAAATAATTCTACATTTCAAAGGGCCCCCTCCTCCACACTAGCCACACAAGTTACAAGAGCTAGGGTTATTGGAAAAAGGTCCACTAATTGACCCAAAAAGTGTGCCCTCGATACCTGGTCATGATTTGACAGCCTCGACGAAGGAGGAAACCCTAAAGCTGCGACGATCCATCTCAAGCCACCCAGTGACTGCACATTGTTAAGCAGCTTCGTCAGGAAGTGCTAAGAATCAGTGTCGTTAAACATCAAACGGTTGAAAAGACACCCTATACATATGCTGCACCTTTGTGTAATGACATCTTGCTGATTGGATCGTTAATGTACGTCAATGGTAAAGGGTGATTGTGACGGCAGTGGGGGAGAAACGCCTCTCGCTCAGAATCAGACTCTTTGTTCATTCTGGAGGGATGCGATGAGCTACAAAGCTTGTTTTCGCGAATGGCCAGTTGGGGCCGGTGTCAGAAAGTTACAACAACGATCGATACAAAAAAACACCATAAGAGTGCAAAAGTATAGGAAAAGTAAACCAACCGCAAGAAAAAGATTTTTTATTTTACCAGGTAAAGTTCACTAAGCTATTAGCTTCATTTTCACCCATTTAAAGCCACTTTCAGCCGATATTAATCTTCATTTTCCACGTTTAAATGCATCAATGTTATTGAGAAATAAATCTCGCTTTGTGCAAATATTTAGCTTATTAACTGTAAACGTATGGGTGTTTGGTGCTGTTGCCGTTGCACTGTAACTGAAACAATTTGAAAACACACTCCTGAATTGATGCTGTCAGTGGATTCGTATAAGTGTTCTGTTCGTGTTGTAGCAAATACGCAAGTCACAGAAATAATTTGCCTTCGCTTCTCCACACCCGAATCTTATTATTTCATCTGATAATCGCCTAATGTTCCACACACTTCCTTTGGAATACTGCAATGGACCAACATTTTTTTAGTGTTTCAAAACCAACATTTTAAATTCCAGATCATGCATGCATAAATATGAAAACTTACCAGATAGACTTTACTCATCCGTAGCCTTAAAAAAATATGCTATTAGCTAAATAAATCAATATTTGCATATATGAACCTTATGGCGGTACCCCGGGGTACCACAGTACCCCGGCTCTCGCATCATGTCCGTGATGCAGTCATCTGTAGTCTGTCAATGGTCGGCGATGCAGCAATCGACTCATCTCGACGAGCTGTACACGACGATGCACCGCCACGGTGCGTACCGCGAGCCTTCAGGGTTTCGGTGCAATCGTTCTCGCTGCATTTCGACATCGCGGAGTGGCACCGATGTCGGATTGATTGGTACCTCAGTCGCTGAGTTAAGTAACACGCCTGGACAAAATAGTGTCCCAGAAATAAAGTATTTAATTGCCTCGGCCATTTTGTATTATTTGGTACCCCGGAGTTACCGCCATAAGGATCAAATGAAGGCGTTGGTCTTTTCTCGGACAATAATTGCACAACGATATTCACAATGACCGGGCATCGATGCCATAGCCTGTGACCACCGAGCAGGGTTGAGCCTGGATAGCCCTTGGACGGGTGACCCCCATGCATACCAGGTTGTTCTAGATAGCTGCGTGGTTACGAGGTCGTCAGCAGAAGACAGCGCAGCTAAATAAATTATTAAGTCGTACCTCTATGTTCCCACCTTCACAAGTCCCGCACTGACCCAGCATGGTGACGTGTCGTCAAAAACTCCCCCAACCCCACGGCGTGGAGAGGCGCTCATCCACCAGTGGATTGGCACTGATACGATACATGTTATACTAGGATATGGTTATCACAGCGTTGGGAAATTGGGGGATTAGTTATTACCGAATCCTCCGTGTGGTAGCCGTGAGAATGTCTGTGTTTTTGCTCTTGGTTCCTCCAAAGGTCAACACAAAGCGCCCAGAGAAATTGTATTAACTGTGGTTAATCTGGAGGTCAACGATGGCACCAACACTGACACTGGAAACAAAAAAAAACTCTTCTTGGTTCTTTCGGTAAAGTCACGTAGAAAGGAAATAATAAAAGAATAAAAAAAAACATAATAAAATAATTCTCACGACGTTTCGGCTACAACGCAAGCAGCTGTCCTCAGGTGACTTCTTCACTTCTACGTGACTTTACCGAAAGAACCAAAGAGATCCCTGCAGTCACGAAAGCTTTAAATCGAAAAAAAACCTCCTTTTACTAACAGCCAACTTGATTGTAAATCAGTGTTGGCTCACTCTGATTAAATTTCTGTATAAAGCGCAAAGAAATGTATATTGTAGTAAATTGCCATCGACGTCTGCTATAATGAATTATTATTATTATTATATGTTCTGTGATGCTAGCCTACATGGCACGAGAGAGAA